GTAGTACCGAACCTCTCAATAAAATTTGCTTCTTGGGGCCTAAAAGGACTGCCAACCAACAAAAAACATGTCACTGTCAATCATTAGACCGATATCAAACCAAGATGGCCAAAAATTGTGGTAATGACACAATCCATTAGGTTGCGAATCTAAATGTTGCGGTACTATTCCAACTTGAGTTGCGATACCACAGAAATAAATTGGAAATGCCCTATCATCCAACAAATTCGGATAGTGCCACAATTTTAGGGGATAACCCCTGAATTTGTTTTCCTTCTTGAACTTTTATGAAGTTCATTGTTTTAAGTCAAGTATTCTTCGATCACAGAAAACATCAATCAGAATTCCTTTTCTAATTCTGATCGATCAGAAATGTATCTGATGTTTATCGCATCACATCAAATATTTCGACGACTTTCACTCGAAACCAAATTTTCCGAACCACAACCTCCACTCGAGAACAATGCTGCCAAGCTAAGGAAGAACGCCGTATGAACATTCGAGAGTTGCCAAGTTTCCTTCAATGAAATGTTCATTTTTGAGGAAAGTTATCAATATTTTTCCTTGAAATTTTTAAGAGCTTTAGGTGAAATTGCAAACAAAATTATCTAAAAAGTTGGAAGAAAAATATTTATAAGTTTACCAGGAAATTCGAATTTTAAAGATGGAAGTTTGGCAACGCCTGAAGGTTCATACGGCGTTTTTCCTCAGCACGGCAGAATGGATATCCATCGCCCCGCAATCACGACAGTAGCTCACTCGAGCTGGGGGCAAGGCCACCAATCATTCTCCAAACCCGTTCGACAAAAACGTCCAAAACAAAGCTCCGATTGTTGTAGGAAACAGAAAGTTAGGAATCAACAATGCGAGACAATGAAAGATCCTCGCCGCCCCCGGGCACCTCGACAAAAAAGAAGCAGTACTCGTACCCGTTTTGAAGGAACTTAATGATTCATTCATGTTCAGCACTCTCACTCGCCCGCCACTCGGCCTTTTCTTCCTGCTGAGGTCCTTTTACGTTTAACGACTTCGTCGGCGATGCAAGATCGCGTGAAAAAGTTCGCGCAACATTATCGGCTCGGCGGAAAACGTTGGCGACTTCTGTACTACATTTTGTAATTTGGAACTATTAATTCTGGCTCTTCTGGAAAAACACTTATGTGCATAGGGAAACGAATGGCACATACGTTTTTTTTAAACCGGGCTAGAATTTATAGTTCCAAATTGCAAAGTGTAGTCCTTCTATCGCATCTTGCTAACCAGTGGCGTGGCGAGCTTCGCGATGTCGCAGGCGAATAGTAAAATTAGGCATTTTGTCTTTCTGGGTAAATTGTCAAATATTCTGACTTAGGTTGCAGTTTTGATTATTTTCCGAATTTTAAACAAAATAATTCATTGCTCGTGTGAGGAAGAATTCCCGGCATCTTACAATAGTATTTTAAACGATTTTAATCTCCGGAGACGGCATTTATCCTGACATTTTCAGCGTGGCATAAAGTATAGAATTTTTAAAATTGTATCATGTAAGTATGAGCATTTTAAGAGGAAAAGACAAAACAAGTTCGTAGATTTGATGAGTTGTTTTTTTTAAAACTATTGAAAACTTGTGAGCTCTTCGTCATAAATATATTTACAAAATTTCATAAACTGTCAAAATTTGACTATCTGCCTAGGCATTTGACAAAATGCCTGATATGACTAATTACCTGCGACATATTTGTCGCAGGCAGTCAGCAATCGCCTGGAATTTGCAAACTCCGTACTTGTCAGTTCGTCAAATTGCAATTGCAATAACATCAATATAGTCAAGGTTTCTTTAGCGAAGAAATTCAAGGCACGACCTCAGTTTAGACACCTTCAAATCCAGCGACACTCTCCGCTTTGCCAAGGAGTTAGTTTAGTTGCGTAACCAAACCAAACCCATCTCAGATTATTAATTACATTTCACGAACTCGATAGTGTGCTAGCTGGAACTATGCATTCAAGGAGAAGGGAATAACGTATGTTTGAATTCAAAACATAATAATCACTACTTCCCATCTCGTTTTTTCACTATAAAATGTTTTAATTTGTTGATTCAATATACGAATTGATGATTGCAATTTGCCGGCGATTGCTAATTGCTTGCGACATACAGATTGATCTGCCCTTTTAAACCCATGGAGAAGAATCCATGAACAGGGTGTTCGCAACTAACACCTTAACAATCGATTCTACACCAAAGCTTCGAACCGAGAAATATCGTTAATAATCGATCGTTTACGCTTCGCCACTGTTGCTAACCGTGCGTTCAAGTCTCCGAGGGGTGCTTCCTGATTACGCGTGATTTTTGCCTGGTTATCATCAAGTCAAAGGTGAAAATTGACAGTTTTTATCTGTTTGGCAATCAAGGCACGCATTATAGGATCACGTCCGCTGGCATACGGATCAGTGGACGTCAAAACTTTTTGAGTCATTTTTAGGATAAGCTCTCGGCCCCACAAGAATGCATACATTCCAAGGCTCATCAGACACAGTACATGTTGGATGCTTAACATCAACCGATTCATATACGGGCACGCCGAAGACGTACTCTCTTATTCTTAAGTCCCGGTGCCCAAAATGTCAATGTTCATTAGTGAGTTTGTGTCATTGTGAGCCGTTCCATACTGCCTCTGAATGGGTTCAGGATGAAAGTTCCGATATCGGCGACCGGTGACTTCCTTCTTAGAGGGAACAATTAATATTTTCTTCTTTTTGTTGCCGTCTTCTACAGCGGGATATAACGGGGCTTGTGAGAGCTGAGGGGTCAGGAGGGAAATATTAAGAGTTTCCATAATCACTATTACCTTTAAAATCAAACTCTAAAAAGTGTCCTGAAGTCTATCGATACAAGTACACACTGAATGAGGTACTTCCATCACATCAGCGCAGCGGCGTGGCGTAATTTGCGACGTATCGATTGATCTGCCATTTAAACTATGGAGAAGAATTGATGAATAGAGTGTTCGCAGTGAACACCTTGATAATCGATTCTTTAACATAGCTTCAAATGGGGAAATAATCGATAAATCAATCACTCACGACTCGCCACTGCTTTACAAGCAAATAAAAGAGGCAGAATGTGTACTGGAATTTTCGGCGAAACAATTCAACCATGAAAAAGGATCCGGCAGGAGGGGAGCTTGGTGGGGTGGCCCTGTACTTGGGTCAAAAGAAATATGGTAAACAACGAAAAGCGTAAAGTTTAAATACTTAAAAATGTTGTAAAATTGAGACCGTCATAATCATTTTTTTATGTTTAGAAGAAAACATTGTTTCATTAATTTACTCTATGCCTTCATAAGTTTTTACTTTGTTTGATAAACTCATTCCCTCCAAAATAATTGATCTTGAACACTCAGCGAAAGGGATTAAATCCGTCAATTTTAACCGACAAAATTGTTAGTTTGGGCATTCCCATGTAAAAATTATCCGAGGGAGTTTACTCTCCCAAATTTTTTTCGGGGAGGGGAGGTGTCCAAAATAACTTCTAAAGCCCCTCCCTGGATGAGCTGAGTATTGTTGCACGAACATGTTGAAGGAAATTTGTGGAGAAATTGAGATATTGGAAAATTTTGGGTAAGAATAATCTCCAAGTACTGCACGAAAAGAATTTATAGTATCAGAATGATTGTTGTAATGATTGCAGTAATTGTTATACTTAAGCCACCATTTTGAACATGCAATACAAATCCGACGCAGATAGAATTCCCTTCCTCCACATGCATCCTTACCCAGTGGCAACTTTGCAAGTTGGCAACACTATTTTTCCTCTATTTAAATCCATTAAAATTACCGATTTCAGGTGAGGCAAGCTGCCTCACCAAGAACCGATTGTTTTACATACATTTAAATGGGGAGGGGGGCCAGTATTGCAAACTTTCAACAATCGCCAGTGTCCTCGCGAAGTATATTGTGGTCGTTCCGCCTCGTTTATATTTACCAAATTCAGACTGATCTCATTCTGACGGAACATACTTATCTCATAGGAAACTATTATGACACTTGGACTTCCGTTAGACCGACACGCTACCGTGTGGTTTTTCTCAATGACCGGTCAGACGTACTGGGAATAGTTAAATTTTATGTTTGCCCTGGAGCTGGACACAACTGAGAAACCGCAGTCAGTGGAAGAGATAAAGTCAGCCTCTTTCTCCCACGGAGCGTGTGGTCATCCGGATGATTAGAAAACGGAAACGGACGTTTTAAACACATTTTACCGCACTACCGCTTGGTTGCCGTTCCCACAAGTTTTCAAGAGTGAAAGGAGATCGCAAAACTATGAAAATGCTGTACGTAATATGGGACGGAAGGTATGGATTCGATCGATGCGAATCGATTGTTGTGGGAAAGTCTTTAATCCTTCACGGGAAAAATTAAATTTCTGATTTGGAGAATTTGCACGCAATTTTTTTATTGCTTCATCTGAAAGTGCCTAATGAGCTGAGTTCGCAATATTTTTCATAATTTTTTTCTGACATGGGAAATTGGAGAAAAATTGATTTAAAAGTGAGAAAATGTGCCGCCTTGTGACGTCATCTGGCGGCATTTCCCATTTAAACACATGTATTTTAGCAGAATCGGTTATTTTGTCATATCTCCTCTAATAATTGCTCAATTTATGAATCAAGGGTTCTTCGTGTTCAGTTCACTCAGAGGATTCCACTTAAACAGGAAATTCATCAAATTTCAGACCCTTGCAAATTCTCCAGTAGCATTTTTTGTCGAAAATCTACATTGAAACATTGCGGTCACTTTTTTTAGCAATCGGATTGTTAAATCAGCAATTTAATTTTTTCCGTGCTGTTTCTTTTAACAAATTTTACGTGTGTACTTTCTTTGCTGTCTTTGATCCAATCAGGAGATTCGATCTGTAAAAAAGGCTGTTAAAGTTTAAAAATCGTAAACAAGGTTAAATGGCTATAAACATGTTTAAATATTATGGCATACTGTATGTACTTCAAATTAGGTCAACTTACAATCTGAGACGGAGTAGCAAAATTTGATCTTATGCATTTGACTGTTCAATGGTGGATGTCCAAAAATCAGACTTGTTTATGGCTTATTATGAAGACTCTAGATGAAATCTGGTCTCTGTAAAAAAGAAAGAGAATAAAATGAGAAAATCGAAGACATCAAAAGATAATTACTTCGATGGGTTGACAAAAAATTCGAGAATTTCTTAAAATTGATTCTACAGCGATCCTCACAAAATACCATCTTGCGAGTAATATTGGAAAGAAGGAGGAAAAAACTATCAAATCAATCCATTTTTTGTAGGCGTATCAAATTTAAAATATTTTAAAAGCTTGTTATGCAAGTTTTCTGTTTCAAAGTAAATTTCCCTGTACAAGAAAAGCAATATAGGTATCTGCACTTGGTCTGCAAAAAATCTATCTGATGAGAGATTTTTTGACAAAGTTTGAAAAAGTTTTGACTTTACGAGCTGGCAACTCTACCAGTTTCATGTTTACGAGCGGATTAGGAATTCATTAGAATGAGAGTCTGTTTAGTAAATTATGATTAATTTATGCAAACAGAGGAATTAGCGGGTGACGAAAGTTGAAATTGAAGACGGCGAGCATATTAGAAAGGCGAAGTTTTATTTACATACGAAATGTCACGAGGTGGCGATTAGAGTTTTTTTCCGTACACTAGAAGTTATACAAGGTTTGATAAGAAACAATTATCTCCATGCAAAACTGCCCAAAACAAGTTTCGGACTTTTAAAATCGCCGGAACTCTCTCCCGCGTTCGGAATCTAATATGATACCTTTCCCTCGGATATGAATCTGACCATTCATCAGAGTTTAGAATCGGCACGTTCCATCATTGATGATTTACTTTCAGTTACATTACCACGTTTTCAGTATAGTATGAGTAAAATGATCGCGACCCTACCTATACAAGAGAGTTCCTACTAAGTTCCAAAGTCTAGCAACACTGCCACCAGGTAATAATAAGGTCCAAAAAAAGCAAATAGGTGGACCGTGTTTAGCAGAAAGGAACCATGCCTCATCAGTCATTTCCAAAAACAGGGTTGATTTTTTACAACGGAAAGTTTGTGCGGATTCTTTTGAGAATTATAAAGAATTTGCTTCGCTCTATGCAAAAAATTCACTGAAATTTGCACAAAAATCTGCACAACCGCATTCATGTAAAAAAATTAAATTGTCTAATCAAATTTGGGAACAGCTGACGTGGCTTTGTTCCTTTCTTCTTAACGCGGTCCAGGTAACCCTAATAAATAACAAACATAAATATGTTGTTTATTACCTTGCTAGAGACAAAGGCAATTCAACTATTAAGAAAGTTTCTTATATTAGGTAACTTCTATCATTTTTTTCAGAGCTATTCACACTGTCAGTAAGGTCATATGCAGTGTCATCAATATTTATGTAGGTAGACTTTCCGGGGGCTCTGAGACTAGGATCCTTCGCGAAGAGCTTCAAGTATAATAGCCCTAACATATCGAACTATTCCGTGAGGGACAAACTATTATGCGCGAAGTTCATTCAAGAGTAGTTGTTATTCGTAAAACAGATCATTGCTGTCAGGCTGATCAGGTTTGGAAACGGCCACACCACGCTGCTCTCTGTTGAAAACACATTGGCTAACACGATATTCAAAACTCAAAATCTGAGCTTTACGTAACGCCCTCTCGTTGGCGATAAAATCTTTTCGAACGATGCCACTGTGTCAGAAGGTTATCTTCAGGGCCTGGTTCTTGAAATTGTGATCGCTAGTGACAGGTCGTAGCTCGGATTTTGAACCGCGTCCGGTTGTCTGCGGGAATTCTGTTAGTTTTTGCGACGAATTTTTTACTTTACTCACGCAGGAATGCAGTTAAATTGTGTGAAACGCCTCCGCGACCGCGAGCTGCACCATGACAACCGACAAGGTCGGCAGGTTGTGCAAAATTCTTTACATTTCTTGTGCTTTTTTTAAACAATAAATCGGGCTGATATTCGGCCTGATTGCATTTTTTTTAAAAAAACGTAAAAGTAAAAAAATCCGAGATTGGATTTCCGAGAAAAGAGCCAAATCTAGGAGTTTTATCAAGAGTAACTGCAGTTGAGAAAGAGCGTTTTCTCCGAAAATTGAGGATTTAAACGTATTCTTCGGATTGGACGCAATTTTTGCCAAACGGAACTATGTACAGAATGACGTGAACCCTCTTATGCATATATTATTATGGGTCTCAGGGCTCATGCCTTAATGCACATAGTTCCGTTCGGCAGAGATACGTCCGATTCGAGATAATCTGCGGATTTGTCGAAAACTGGCAGTTTTATCGAGGGTTTTTTTTTTTTCAGAACCCACGAGAGAAAGTGTTTTCCCCGAGGACTAATGATTCCAAAATGCCTTCAGCTCTTAAAAATCTGCAAATATAGTTGCTGGTATTTGAGAGGGGTCTTGACATTTTTACGAGGCTCGTCCGTTGGAGAGTTCCAGATTTTTCACACAAATTAAATAATTATAGTACGATTTCAACATTCATCCTCGTTTCTCGTCAGCTAGTCAGCAACGTTTAGAGAGGTGAGCCAAATGAGTTCATCAAACTACGAGCTGTTCGTTGAATGAATAAGCTGGCTACGAATCACAACAGCTGAAAAAAGGCAATTTTAAGAGTTGTCGATATGTCTATCGTAACCGATGACAAAATGTAATTTTTCAAAAGACCAGCGGGCTGATAATTGAAATTGATAGACAAAGCTGTAAAAAAAGAAGACAAAAAGAAAACTGAGCGATCCTATTGGTGAAGGCGGATGGTTGCAGTGGAGAAAGTGGGTAATTAATAGGCTAACTGACTGAAACCCACGAAGGACCATGTAATCGTTTTTCCCTTAATTTATACAATCAACCTTTTCAACCAGTAGGGTCGCTCCTTTTCCCTTTTCTCTTTTTTTTTCAATCGCTTTGTCTATCAATTTCAATAATCAGCCTGCAGGGCGTTTCTAACTTTCTTTTACAATCATTTTTCATAAACTTTTTTTGTTAAAAAGGGGGTGGGGGTTTAGGGGCTCAAAAGCCAACTTTTCCCTTTTTTTCTATGCTCTTTTCCCCGTCATATTCAAAAATAATCGCGCATATTAAAATGCCTCGTAAAACATCCACGGTTTTAATAAAAATAAGGAAAACATAAAACACGCAGTTAGACAACGCAGGAGCCAGGAGGCGCTCCAAGATGCGAGTCCTTGTCGTCAAATCGGAGGAAATAACTTGGCCGGATAAGACCGCGCATGCGTGAAATCGGATTTTTAAGGGAGCCTCGGCAAAGGCGCTTCGTTGCGAAGGTTAGGGGTGTCAAGTGAGGGCACGGTGCGGGGGAGGGCGGGGAGGAGGAGGAGGGGGGGGGCTCCCCGTCAACTCGGATCCCCAGCGACCTTCACCTCTGCTCTGTTTGTTGTGCCTCCGGTTCAACGCTCCCGCGATCTTCGCTACTGGGTTACCGGTTGCCGTAGGAAAATACAGGAGCTGCGATGGTCAGTCAGAGGCGATGACGTCATGGATGCTAATAAATAAAGATTGAACTAAAACAATGATTCCTCTTCTTCATTCCATGCACATAATCCGGTGAAAATTTTCGACATTGATTTCTTTACCTTTCATCGAAGCAAAAAATCAAGGTCAGAAATTTTTCTGCTAACGTGCTGAGGCAAACGCTGGATGAACCTTTGACGTGGCAAATTTTTACGAAAAAATTTGATTTTTCTTTGAAATAAAATCGCGAAAATATTTATCTTTGAAATTTTCAGAGAATTTTACCTACCATCTAGTCCGGTGTGCTCGATGACACCGTGGAAATTTATTCAGATACCTCCAAATTACTAACATGTCCGTGTCCGTACCATATCGGCACTCTAGCCATTGCCCCATCGAAGTCATGCGAGAAGAAAAATTGTAAGTGGATCGCAACCTTCTAATGGAGATACGTTCCTCTTCAGTGCCGTGGCGTGATCTGCGATATATCAATTGATCTGTCGATCGATAGACATGTTGTTCGCAACGAACATCTTGGTGATCAATTTTCTTTACCATAGCGTCGAACGGGAAACATCGATAATCTACCTTTCACGCCTCGCCTGTTCCTCTCTTCGGGATACCACAAATGGACGTATTTATGCTAAAAGGAACTATTTGCTTAGGGTTTGTGTGCAACATAGTTCTTTTTAGCATAAATACGTCCAAATAAAGATACGCGTTTTTCGACTTTTATCGCATCATAACAGAGTGAAGGCAGGGCCGGATTTACCTAATTGCCGCCCATGGGCCGCCTGTATTTTTCTGCCCCCTTCTCATTCGTTTTGAAACATCAATAGATCGTATTCGACAGTGGTTCGATGTATCGTTTGGTACAAAACAATAGAACATAACTTCAAACAAAAATTTTAGGAATTAATTTGAAGAAGCTGAAAATGAGAAAATTCCTAACGATTTCTTTTTTCATTGCCAGTTGGTACTCGAGAGAATAAAAATTCGATCACATAAGACCCGCTACCTCAGATTTCTAAATTGACTTTTGAGGCTGTGGTTACATATCGAAACAGTCGATATCAATATAATCTCACCTGTGTGATCTGTCGAATACGATCTATAGAAACCATCAAGTGAACGTGCCGGTGGGGGAGGGGAAGGGGTGTACGAGACGCGTTTACTTGTGTTGGGCATATTTTTTGTGAAAGCCCTGTCAACACTGACAAAAGTTCAGTTCCGTAAAACCATCCCTGTTTGGACAAGGCCTTCCATTTAAAAAAGACGAACGAACAAATTATGAAAGAACAAACATAAATGTGGTTAATAATTATTTTACCTTCCGCCGCCGCCGCGCCGACCGCACTGTGTTGGAGCAATGCGTGAAGTATTCATGCAGTCTTGTAGGCGCTATACGTTTTATGCCAACCACCGCGACGCTCCGTATCAGGTCACATTGCGTGTTTGGTTTCTCTCTTAGCTCGACTAATTAAAGGTGTTGTCTCTTGTATCACCGAAAGACGACAAAATTAGAAATGACTATACTTTCACTCTCAGGAAAGGAGAGATTTTGTCGTCTCTTCTCGTTTGTAATTTATTTTCTGAATCCGATTTTTCCT